GCTCTTGAACATTGACGTCACAGCAGTCAATCCACTAGGCAGACATCTGAAGAGGACTACTGGCCGAGAGTGATCGTATCAGTTTACAGTAAAACAACATGCGAAGTCTTTTGTTCATGCATGCCTATAAGCGGGCCAAGTACGTCATCCGACACCCGGAAAAGAGCACCCCCACACCAGTTCCACACCCTCCCAATATAATATAATCAAATTATTGCTTCGCTCACTTATAAATCAGTTGGTCAAATTTGTTAAGTTGTTAAATAAATGATAAATAAATAAATACTTATGAAACGAATATCACAGCATGTGCTTGTACTTGTACCATGCTAAAACAACCGTGACGAATGGTGGGGATTGCTTTCAGTAAACAGGGAGAAACGACCTTTTGTCCAAATAAATGCGCAGGTGGCTGGAGGGCGTCACTGGTGGATCTTACTTCTCTCCCACCCCACCCCCAAAACCCCTTTCTTGTTTCTTTCTATTTAGCTTTTCCCCTGCACTTAATGGTTCGTCATTATGCCCATGTGCCTCACTTTCGGAAAACCAGAAAAGGTGTGCCCATATTTACGGTTTTGATAAAGCCATAGACTTGCACTATTATAAAAGCACAAATCTATTGCTAGAGCCAAAGATCCTATAATGTGGCATAGGATTTTTGCCAAAGCCAAAAAGTAAGTCAAATCAAAGCAGACCCAAATGTTTCCGGGCGCACCGGTGCGCACCACTGTGTCGAAAGATAATCTGAGTTATAGAAGAAGAAGGCACCCAGTGATGCGAAATAACATCCACACTGACAAAGTCAGTCCTGGTTAACATACCGGAAAGGGTACTTCTTTACAGCCAAAATTACCTCCCGCCATGTGTATAGATTTGACGGTATCCTTTGATTGTCTGGTCGAGTTGAGAACAATGTTTTTCACGGGTGAGCGCAGTAACTACAGCGGCGACAACGATAATGAGATAGAACAATAGTGAACGCCAATTGTCGCTCTCGTTCAGGAAAGTCTGTTGTACATTCACAACTTGTTTTTATAACCAGCAATCAATGTTAATTAGTTCCTCTTTGTTGGTTGAAAATAAATGTACAACTTAACTTATTTTTTTTTTTACATATTATAGTTTGGTAGCTTTTTTATATTTCGTTTTATTTTTTAGTTAACATAACAGTTTTTGTTTATTAAATTAAAAAATTTTCTTAGTGGTTGTTTTTACTTTTTATTCCTGAAAATTCATAAGAAAGTAATTACAAAGCTCAAAACCCGTGTTGTTTGTTTTGGGTTTTTTTTAGGGGGGTGGATGGTCTGTTATTAAATTTTAAATTTTTAAATTTAAATTTTCTTTCTTTCTTTCTTATTTTTGTTAGCTAGGTTCACATTTATATTCTGTTTTCGGGTTCGTAGTCTTTAAAAAATTTTTTTATAACATTATTCTTATCGGAGAAAGTCCATATTTTAACCCAGTTTGTTGCGGATTTTGTTTTCTCTCAGGTGATTGCCGGAGTGTTTGAACATTATTTGCAAGGCAAGAAATACGACCCTAAGGTGTTCCCAAGACTCATAAAAACATTAACAGAACTAATCCGGGACAGGGTGAAAATGCAAGGCTTAGACAGGTGATTACCCCCGCCAAGGTATCATTACTCTCTGTCTTCGATTTATTTCTCAATCTTTGTGCCCCGACCCACTCCACAATCTATCTCTATTTTCCGCCCCTCCCC